TTCAGACAGCTCAGCAGGGCCCAGGCAGTTGGCAGGGAAGACAACACGATACACATCTTTGGTCACCAGAAAGGAGGAGACTGCTGAGTCCCAAGGACATTTCTTTAGGGTCTCTTTTACCCTAAACCTCCTAATCAATTTCTATTGTCTGTTCGTATCATCCCTCCTTCCTCTGAAGATGCCATCGTGAGGTTGGGGTGATGACCCATCTGGCTTCTTCGGGTTGTATTTAGGATATTGGGTGTGGCAGTATTGAGGTATCCCTCCAGGGAGCCTATGTATAAGACTCTGTGGCAGTTTGAATGTAATTGGCTCCCATGAGCTCATTGGGAGTGGCACTATTAGGAGGTGTCACTTTGTTGGAGTAGTTGTGGCTTTGCTAGAGGAAGTGTGTCATTGTGGAGGCAGGCTTTGAAGTCTCATATATGTTCAAGCCATGCCTAGTATCTCAGTTTACTTCCTGTTGCCTGTGGATCAAAGATGTTTCTGATCCTTCTCCAGTTCCTAGCCTGCCTGTTGCTGCTGTGTCCCATCGTGATGGTAGGGGACTAAACCTCTGAACTGTAAGATGCAAAACTAAACGTTTTCCTTTATGAGTTGCTACGCTCATGGCGACTCTTCACAGCACTAGAAACCCTGACTAAGACAGACTCCAACTATCAGATGTAGGAAGGAAAGGAAGTCCTTGAGTGATGTCTGGAAAGGATTTTAAAATATCCTGATCGAGGATTATTAGAGTCTCTGGATGTGCTCACAGAGCCTTTACTTTTCTTTGGCCTCTAAGGGTGATCTCCAGAATGAGGAATCCACAATCAGCTTTCATGTCCCTTGATAGTTGTTGGATCAGCTAGAAGCATATGGCTTCTAGGTAGGGAAGTGATCCTTTAATAGTGGGCCTGTCTTCCTTGGCTGTGGGCAGGTGCTTTGGTGTGCTAAGGTCTTAAGTCTTATATATTAGCAACATCTTTTAGCAAGAAGAAAATATTAGTAAGACATAATTGTCTAGAGAACATCTCATGTAGACTTGTGTCTAATGCCTGGGAATGTGAGCCTTGAACTATTATCAGTCCCCAATATTTGGTTAGATTTCCTGAAGAGACCAAAATAAAGTTTTCATTTTGTATCATCAAGGCCAGTGGAGAATCTGGCCCTCGGGAGTCACCTGGGTTTGAGCGGAATCTCTGACTCATTGAGTCTTTCTTTATTTGCCTACATGAGAATAAGCAAAGGTTTTGCTTAGCCTGACTGTGCTTCCTTTGGAAGCTTGGAGGGAATCTTTGCCCTGTGTGGGCCCTCCTCCTTATAGATTGGGCTGTGGTTAGAATCCAGTGAGTGGGGTCTCCGTGACCTTCCTGAAAAGAGAAGAGGTGACTGTCCACAGTTACAGAACATTCCTAGAGATGGCTCACAGTCTCCTGGAACTTCATTGACCTTGGAGGGTGAGGGGGGAAAATGTTCCTCCTTTCAGTTCCTCAGACCACGTTAGAATAGCCGTCAACTGCAGTTATTAAACACCCAGAAGACCCATCACAGCAGTCTGGTACTTTAAACTACTTTATACTATCTCAATAACCAGAAAATTTCAAATGAACTTTGGTTAGACATGCATTTTAGCTAATCCTTGTAATTGTTAATGTTTGGGCTTGCAAAATGACTTACTTAGATCTTCATAACTTGCAAAAGCTTTCTAGTCTTCTCTATCATCATTGTTATTAATATCATTATCATTAGTTTTTCAAGACAGGGTTTCTCTGTGTAACAGCTTTGGCTTCCTGGAAATTGCTCTGTAGACCAGGCTGGCCTCAAACTCACAGAGATCCGTCTGCCTCTGCTGCCCGAGTGCCAGGTTAAAGGCGTGCGCTGCTGCTGCCGCCTCCGCCGCCGCCGCCGCCGCCGCCACCACCACCACCACCACCACCACCACCACCACCACCACCACCGACTCTCTGCTCCTTTACTAACCCGTTTCCCACTTCTTTTCACTCTTTTGGAGCTGTTCATTCCTACCAGAGAACACTTGTTGGCCACACAGGTCCCAGCGTGAATTAAGACTTGTGGAACAAGCTGTGTTTACTGCTACAAAGCAGCCAACATTCACTCTCCATTATGCTGGTTCCAAGAAGGTTTGCCCAGCTCAGACCTGCTAAAGCACGCACAGTGAGAGACCTGGCTGAGGCCTTGTCTCACAGCCTTCAGAGAACACAGTTTTATGCTAGCCAGAGAAAAAGGATTCCCTGGAAGCCCAGGCTTCCTATTTATAAAGCACGTTTACACGCCCCTCTGGCAGAAGAGAGGTTCTAAAGAGACACTTGTGGCTCTCCCTTTGGCTCTTAGACTATTGAAACAATGGACCCCAAAGAGTTAAAATTTCTCCAGGAATCCCATTTTGGGGGACAGGGAGACTAAAGTCCTCTGGCATTAACGCAGTTTGGACAAATGAATGTATATATTATCTCCTAACTTTTGTTCAATCTTTTCTATGTCTATGACAGAGAAAGCAGAGGGAAACTAGGTAGTCTTTCTTTCCCCAGTCTGACCAAACTGTAAGTAAATCCATTTTCTTTTTATCAGTTTGTTTCCTAATCTCTTTCGAGCTACAGCAGGTTTGTGATCTTCAGGGTTCCTGCTCACCCCTCTCTACCCTCTATCATTCTGAGATGAGAGTAGATACTAAGTTTAGGGAAAGTTTAAAAAGTGGCAGCTTCCTGAAAAATATACAGGTATGTATTTCAAAGGGGGGTTAAATGGAGTTACCTCAAAAATGGGACCAATACCCAAATTATAGTCTATATACTTGCAAATAAAAAGCCCAGCACCAGGAATGGGTTACCTCTTCTTGAGTGGTTGGCCAAGTGATTTCCACAGACCATCAAATAATATAGGTTAGTTTTTGAGATTATAATCTAATTACAAAATTTCTCCCTTCCCTTTCTGTCTTAGCACAATTAACCCTTTGTCAGCTTGACACAAACATATCACTGTTAAGCTACAAACTTCCCTTTCTTACTCATTCCCAAGATGACACATTGATATCAACATCATAATATAAATCATTTAACACATTTAAAATGCCCCTACGGTCTTTGAAATTCAGTCTCTCTCTCTCTCTCTCTCTCTCTCTCTCTCTCTCTCTCTCTCTCTCTCTCTTTTAAATTCAGTCTCTCAACTATGGGCTCCTGTAAAAATCAAAAACAAATTAAATGCATCCTTACTCTAGGAGGTGAGAACCAGGGCACAGTCACAATAAAATCAGAGCAAAACCAAACTCCAAAGGGCAAATAACTCAATGCCCCCAATTATCGGTGATTTCTTCATCATTGACTCCAGGGGACTTGGGCCACCTCTCCAGCTCCATCCTGTGCAGCACACAGCTAGTCTCCAGGGCTCAGGCTAGTTCCCTTCACCACTGCTGCTCTTCTTAGTGGCCATCGTAGGGGACTCGCATCTGCAAAACTCCTGGGCTCCCTCAGCTTTCTGTCGTCCATGGTTTCCTTTAATGCTTAAGTTTTTATTTACTTCTTTCCACAAGTTGAAAGGTCAGCTGGGTGGTTCTTGCCCTCAGCCTGCCACTTCCTTTGCTCCATTTAGAACCAGGCTTTTCTTTAAACTCTTTATCTCCTTGAGCTCTGGATTTAACTCCACTACATTCCCTGGTGCTCCATTTCTCCTTAAACTGTACATTTTGCATTGTTTCCTTGCTCAACTTGCTACTTTTCACTGTAGACCTGAATAAGAATGATCACTAATAACCACACGACAAACTCCATACTAGGTGGTCTTAAAATCTCCTCCACCAATGCCATTAATGCAAAACTCTTCAATTTAGTCTCAGGAAGATTTTTTTCAGAGAAGGGCAAAGAGCAGCCGGATTTCTTTGCCAAGATATCACAAGAATGTTCTCTAGGCTATTTACTAATGTTTTTTTTTCCCTTTTAACCCTCTTGAGTTGGGCTGTCACAGTCTACACTGCTCTCAGTACGACTGTCTTCCATGCTCCTTAAGGTCTGTTTAAAGGGTTCAACCATGCTCCTAATCCAAAGTCCCAGAGTCTACATTCTGCCAACAAGTAGCATGGTCAGGCCCATCACAGCAATACCCCACTCCTGGTTCCAATTTGTGTCTTAATCCATGTTCTATTGATGTGAAGATATACCATGATCACAACAACTCTTATAAAAGAAAGCATTTAATTGGGACTTGCTTACAGTTTTAAAGGTTTAGTCCAGTGTCATGGCCAAGAACATGACAGCATACAGGTTGATATGGTGTTAGAGAAATAGTTAAGAGTTATACATCTGGCCGGGCGGTGGTGGCGCATGCCTTTAATCCCAGCACTCGGGAGGCAGAGGCAGGTGGATCTCTGTGAGTTCGAGGCTGGGCTGGACCGATAGCCTCCAAAACAATATAGAGAAACCCTGTCTCAAAAAACCAAAAAAAAAAAAAAGAGTTATACATCTGGATCCACAGGCAGAAGAAGGGAGAGAGAGGCACTTCGCTGGCTTGACTTTTGAAACCTCAAAGCTCATCCCCAGTGACACACTTCCTACAACAAGGCCACATCTATTCCTTCTCAAGTAATGCTACTTCCTGATGACTAAGCATTCAAATATACGAGCTTATGAGGGCCATTCCTATTCAAAACACCATACTAAGCAACCTTAAAATGTCAATTTAAAAGATTTAAAAAGAAATGAAAGACAGGCCTATATGTATAGATACTTTTTGCATTGTTTTAGGGCTTCGTTCCATATGAAAAAATATATTCTATCAATGTTGAGATGGCTACTTTTGCAATTTGGATAGTTGACACCTCAGCATTAATTGATTGCTAATAGACAACATGTTTTCCTAATAAAAATGTCACAAGCTTACTTTAATGTCTACTGTAGTTTCTATGCATATTACAAAATTGAGATTAAACCAGTGTCATTTGCAAATGTTCATTGGCTCACTAATTCAGTATTTATGTTTGTAACAGAATATGTGTTGACGCATTTCAGCATAAGAACTGGTGGAGACACAGCTCCTTGGTGCACCTGCCTGGGGAATTATTTTCGGAGACTTCCACCCAGGAAAAGCTAGATCCTTCACTTCCTCACAAAAGCACACTTGAGGGTGAGCCACTCTGAAACAGAGAAATTTTCTTTTCCATTTTGACAGAGAAGCATCCCCAGTGAAATACCTTTTAGTAACCCTGGCCAGCCCCAACAGGAGACACTGGGTTTAGAGATCCAACAACCCACGGGGGGGGGGGGGGAATTGCTTAGTTTCAAATACTTTTAAAGTACATGAAATGGGTCTCTGGCTAAAGACAAGGCCTTACTGTGTGGTTAAAGAGCCTTGGGACTGCTAAGCACCTAGCGACGGTACTGGAGGGGATACAGGCTTGCTCTGGGCTTGCACATCAGGAAGCTGATCTTGTTATGTGGCCTTGCCTGGAAGCATGTGCATTCTCATGATGTCATGGAAAACCTGTCTCCTGAACCTGCAATGGTGGAGAAGATGCAGAAGAGTGTGACTAACCCTTCACAGCAGTGGCATCCGGGGTCATTCCACTCTTCTCTTGTTTACAGAGAAAGAAACCAGTGCATGGAACAGGAGTTAAAGAAGATCAGGGCCCAAGGGATAGAAGAACATTGTCCACTGTTTTGATTACTTCCTGAACTCTAAAAAGGGCCTACGGACATTTCCTCCTCCTTCTCCATCATGTGCCAGCTGGTCAGTGGGTGAGGTGATCCTTGGAGGGGACGCTGGTATCTGCAGTCACACATCACACATGAGTCCATGCGACATGCTGGATAGTGGTCTGTTGAAATGAGTTAGCACATGGATGAGAGAGGGGCCTATGGTGGCTAGTCTCTCTGGTACAGTTCTAACCAGAATCAGTGTTTCTCTTCCAAAAAGAGGCAAAGCCACCACCTCTCTTTGCTGGTATCAGATATCTCTGCCTCCGTTTTGGAGTTTGACTGCTGCTGGAGATTCTAGCTGATCTTGGATTGTTTTATTGGCTTTAGGAGAGTTCATTGAGTCTTTCCTATATGTCTTGGATCAAGTATGATCATAGGTTATACAGGTGGCTAAATCTGCTGACTCACTGTTATTTATAAGGTCATAAGAAGGGATAATGATAGGGATTTAAAGCTTTTTAATTGGATTTTATTTTTTCCATATGTGCCCAGGTAAGGTGATGACAGAAAATTGTATCAATACATTATTTATGATTTATTAAAGCCTGCCTGAGGATTCAGAAAGCAAAGTCACCCACAAGTCATAGAAGCCAAAGGCACACACCTTTAAGGCCAGCAGCCAGAAGCTAAGAGGTGGTGCTACACACCTTTAATCTTAGGACTCAGGATTAAGAGGTAGACGGATCTCTCTGAGTTCAACGCCACCTAGAGATACGTGAAATTGAATCAGTCTTTAAAAAAGTAATAGAGCTCATGCCTTTAATCCCAGAACTAGGGAGGTATAAAAGATATGAGCAGGGTCTTCAGTAGTCAATATCGAGCATTCATTTTCCAGCCACCCTGAGGTCAGGAAGATATCCAGTCTCAGGATTCTTCAGCCACGCTGAGGAGAGGCAGCAGGATCAGCCTGTTCAGCCTGAGGTAGAGGTAAGAGCTAGTGGCTTGCTACTTTACATTTCTGACCTTGAGCTTGAAGTTTGAACCCCAATATTTGTCTCTGGGTCTTTTATTTTTCATGTTACAGGAAACCTATGGTTGTTAGGAACCCCAACTATCTTCAAAGGTAAATATCTTAGGCTGCAAGAGATGTGGCAGCTGGGTAAGGGGATATGTGGGAAGGAGCGAGTGAAAGTTAGTGTTCAAATACAAGAAAGTGGCAAAATTATCCAGAGTTTGACATAATGCTATCAACCCTCCAATATAGATAGAAGGTAGGACCAGTGGTCCTACATATTCAGTTAAAACTGAATGGACAACTTCTGAGCCCCAAAAGAAAAGCTGTTGACTTACCTATTACCATGCTGTTTCCCTTGGGTGCCTTGTGAACTGAGGATGGCTAGTATTTCTGAACCAGGGCACCATCAGCCTTCAGTGGTCAGACCCAAGAGACTGGGACTGAGGCTCTGTCTTGTTGTGGAATAGAATGTTTGGCTATGTAAAGATGTGTGTCACATTTGTTTGTGTTGCAGAATAATTGTTGAACCACGTAAAGGTGTGTTGCTGGCTAACTTCACCTGTCTAAGGCACCTGATTGGTCTAAAGAAAAGCTGAATGGCCAACAGCTAGGCAGAGGAGGGACAGGCAGGGCTGGCGGGCAGAGAGAAAGGAGGAAGCAGCCAGTCAGCCAGGGGTCAGCTAGCCGGGCATGAGCCAGATACAGAGAAGTAGGAAATCAGGATGGACAGTACATAGATGTGGGAAACATGCCTGGGGCAGCACGTGGGTTAATGGAAGTGGGTTAATTTAAGTTAAGAAAAATGGTGGCTAGAAACAAGCTAAGACTGAATATTCAGAACTAATAGTAAGTTTCTGTGTCGTGATTTGAGGGCTGGAAGTCCAAGAAAGCCTGCTATACTATCTGAGTGTTAGCACTTACAAACTGGCTTTTGCGTAGGGATGTGGGGACAACTCGAACTCCGATGCCCCTTTACACACACTGCATACGTTACCCGCTGTCCACGGAGCTGGTAAATTAGGAAGTGTTCTTGTCCAGTGTCCCTCTTTGCCATACTTGAAGCAGAGTCATGTCCCATACGTGTTTCTCAAGGCTGTACGCCAACTCTCACTGTACATTACTGTCACCTGGGAAGGGTTGAAAATGGCCACATGAGTTTTAAAACTGTCCAGGTATCTCTTATACTGTCAAAGCTAAGGTCCCATGCTCTGTACCAATGGTTTAAAGTGATCCGTTACTATCTACAAGACACCTGCTAGGAATACATGTTCTCCCATGAGCTTACTATACAAAACATTTCATCACACATTAAAAAGGAACCACAAGGTCCTACCCTCCCAAAGTTGCTACTTCTGGCACTAAATAGTTGTTAGGGTTGGGGCGTTATTTTCTTCAATGGTGTAGTCACAGGTAAGTTGCCCTTTCTTCACTAAATAACTTCCCACCAGTGCTTAGACTACCAATTCTTTTTTTTTTTTTTAACGAGACAGGGTTTCTCTGTATTGTTTTCGAGGCTGTCGGTCCAGCCCAGCCTCGAACTCACAGAGATCCGCCTGCCTCTGCCTCCCGAGTGCTGGGATTAAAGGCGTGCACCACCACCGCCCGGCTTAGACTACCAATTCTTATTAAACTCTGTGGGCCACACACAAAGGCATGGAGTAGGAGGATTGATGAGAGGGGTTCTGCCAAGAGAGGGAGGGGGATTGATTTCAATGTATTGTAAAAATAACTAAGATGCCTTTTATCAATGTATAAAACAGTCAAAATGAAACAAACAAGCCACAATGCTCAAAAATAATGCATATTGTCTTAGCCCACTCTAGCCCCTTTCAATCAAAAATTCCGGGACTGGAATTTAGGAGTGTGCTTAGCAAGCCCTCTAGTAGATACTAAGTACCATTGAACTAAAGTCTGGTAGATACTAAGTACCATTGAACTAAAGTCTAGTAGATACTAAGTACTATTGGCATTCTGTACGAGGAGGAGGGCCTGGGTGGTCTCAGTGGGAGGTCTCTAAAGGGAGAAGTCTTAGACTATAAACTGCTGGGAGGAGGAAGCCACCATTAATGTTTTCTGTACTCCCTGTCAACCTTCAGACCAGGGCAAGGCCTTGCCATTAACATGGGTCTGAGGCACTGGGGTCCTTGATATGGCTGTGCTCACATCACTAATACACATCCACTCAGGACTTCAACAGCTCCTCACAAATTCACACTTCCTCTGCTTCCCACCAATCCCACAGGCCCATCCTTCTCCATTCCATCGCTTGCTGACTCCTAGCAACACAAATATCATTTTGGATGATAATCCAACTTGGTGTTCACATACTTTCTGGATTCTTTCCATTTCTGTTGACCTCAGCAAACAGGATTATGTTTCAGTTAAGGCCCAGATTACTTTTCCCTGTCCATTGTGCTGCAGGTGAAGCCACACGCATAGTTGCATTTTGCAAATGTTTGTCTAATTAGTATTTATTAATTGCCTGCTTTCCCCCTCATAGGTTTTATTATACTGCTCTCAGGATTCTTGGCACAAATTTCTGCTTTATTTGGCAAACCTGTTTGTGCCTGTTACCTCAGCACAATCACATGCAGGAACACTTCTTTGTGGAGTCTTCTCTCCTCTGCTGGATCCCCTGCCTCCTGCATCCCCTGTCCTTTTCCCTTTGGTTTACTTTCTCATTTTAAAGCGTCACCCAGCAGCTCCCAGAGAAGCACTGGGAATACATGTTTTGAGACTTACATTCTTAAACTATCCTTATCTGCTTATTAAAATATTAGTATGTAGAATTATAAATTAATATGCAGGCTAGAAATTATTTGTCAATGGAGTTTTGAGCTCATTGGTTTTTCTTCTAAGAAAAGATACTTTATTGTAACCAAAATTTATTATATATTTATGAAATATAAAACAATGTTATACTTCATGAATGTCACATGTGTGGTGATTTGAATAGGATGCCTCCCATAGATTCATTTGTGTGAATGCTTGGCCCATAGGAAGTGGCACTATTAGGAGGCGTGGCCTTGTTGGAGTAGGTGTGGTTTTTTTGGAGGAAGTGTGTGTCACTGTGGAGGTAGGCTTTGAGGTCTCTTACATGCCCAAGCTACACCCAGTATGGCACACAGTCTCCTGCCTGTGGATCAAGATGTAGAACTCTCAGCTCCATCTCCAGCACCGTCTCTGCCTGCACAACACCATGCCCTGAGTGATGATAATGGACTGAGTCTCTGAGACTGTGGGCCTGCTCCAATTAAATGTTTTCCTTTATGAGTTGCCATGGCCATGGTGTCTCTTCACAGCAATAGAAACACTAAGACAATTTAGAATAATTAAATCAAACTAACATATGCATCAATGCAAATACTTACTTTTGTGTCGAGAACATTTGAAATTTACCCTTTGCAATTTAAAAACTACAGCACCTGTTATTATTGAGATCACCATGATTCGTAGAAAATAAAAAAAATTTAAGGCCTTATTCCTCTGTCAAATGATCATCATAATCCTGTTCCCTCAACCCCTTAACCTTCCTAATCACCATTCTACGCTCTGTTTCTATGAGTTCAATTGTTTTGGTTCCTGATATGAGACTGTGTAGCAACTGTCTGTCTTGCCTGGTTTATTTCATTTAACACAGTGTGCTCAATACGATGCATGCATTGCACAAGACAGAATTCCCTTTATTTTTAAGGTTGAGTAGGGGTCTATTTATATGTGCCATATTTCTTTTGTTTATCCAACAGTGATTGAACATTTGATACTATCATGAGGCTACTGTGAATAATGTCGCAATAAACATGAAATGCAGATTTCTTATTGACAAACAGACTATCAGGAACTAGGATTTCCAGACTACATGGTTAGTTTTGTAAAAAAAACTGTGGTAGTGAACACCATGATGGAGGCACTATTTTAAATTCTCTTTACAGAGTACGAGAATTAGCTATTCTGTACTTGAATTGTTTGGAGAGTCTTTTTTATTTTCCCGTGTGTCGGAGAAGCCTGCTGCTGCTCTGATTTCAGATGCTGCGTGACGTGCTTGTCCCGTAGAAGATTCTGCGCACTGGGAGACAGTGGGGCTTTAATGAGGAAGATGCAGAATGAAAGAGCCGGAGGAAGATGAACAGCATCAGAAGCAGTCCTCGCCAGACACTGTAGAGCTGTTGCACGGAAAAGCTCACAGCTGTAGTGATGGCACGCATGAGAGGTCTGCAAATTCCAGCCAGTCAAAATCCGGGCATGGAGGGTGGGGAGGTGAGCATGAAACCCCATGCCTGACCGAGGAGCCGTCGGCATTTGATAGCAGCGGGGAGTAGAGTCAGTTTTCCTGGATGATACGACCCCTTGTATATTGACCACATCCCGGGGCAGGCCCCAAGACTAGCTGCACAACACTAAGTAGAGTTGTCAAGAAAAAATAACCCCAAAGTTGGGTGGGAAGGGTGGACGGGTGGATGGGTGGAAAGGGTACTTATGGGGAGAGTTGAGGGTGGGAGAATGAACATGTTCAACATAGATTGTTTGAAACTCTCAGAGGATTGGTAAACTATTGTCTAAAATGACATGATGTCATGCTTGCAGTGCGCTCTGTACTACATACACCCCTTTGATATTCAGTCTAGAAACTCCTGCCCTTCCATCCTTAGAGAATTTCCTGTATTACTCTTGTAGCTTTTGAAATGCAATTTCTTTTCTACCAGCTGTTTTTTCTTTCTGGATTAAAAGGTTTATTTTTTTCACCATTGTCTTCCTTTTTCTATAGCGTTAGGCTTTCTGTTACCATGTGACTCCCACCGTCTCCACCAGAGACCGTTTTCAAAGCTCGTCATCCTTGATACTCAACAGCGAGCTGTGGTCATGCTGCCATTTGGAAAGAAAGGAATCTTGGCCAGGGAAAACTCTCCACTTAAATGTGAGCTTGAGATTTTTTTGTCTCTCTTAGAAACTGTCTGGCTGCACACAGGTTGTAATGCACCAGAAGGAACACCCGAAAGACGATTTTCTTATTACACA